CGCCCCCCCCCGAACCCGACGGGGGCTGCCCCCCGACCCCGATGCTGCCCCCGCAGGCACGTGTCGCGCGAGTGGCGGAACCTGTCCGCGTCCGACTACCTCTGGCGCACGTACTACAAGAGCCGCTTCCGCGAGATGGCGCGCGCGGCCGAGGCGACGCGCGCCGACGACAGCGAGCGCACGGGCCCCTGGGCCTGGCGGTCCGCGCGGGCCATCGCCGCGCAGGCGCAGCTACGCGAGCGCCAGCGCAATCGGCGCGGCGCCGACGACGCGCCCGAGGCCGCGACGGTGACGACGCGCCTCGCCAACGCCGTGCGCCGGCGGCCGAGCCGCGCCGAGGCGCCCCCGCCCGCCGGGAACCGGCGCCGCGTCGCGTCCGCGGGCGACGACGGCGACGGCGACGGCGACGCGGCGCCGGCGGCGCCGCGGCCGCGCGCGGTCCGCGCGGAGGAGTCCGAGTCCGAGGACGAGGGCGCCTTCGCCGGCGTCGTGCCCGTCGTGGCGCGCGGCGGCGCCCTGTCGCCCCGGGGGAGCTACAAGGCGCGGTTCAAGGCGCGTTTGCTCGACCCGCGCGTCGGCGACGCCGTCGAGGTCGCGTGGCGCGGCAAGTTCCGCCTCGAGTCGCTGGAGATCTACCGGGGCACGGCCTGGTGGGTCGCCATCGTCGTCGACAAGGTCCAGCTCGACGGCGCGGGCGACCGCGCGCCGCCCGGCGGCGCCGCGGCCGCGCCGGCCCAACCGGACGGCGGCGCCGCGGGCCCGCGGCCCGGCGGCGCCGGCGCCGGCGACCTGCGGCGCGTCCACGCGTCCCAGAGCTGGTACAAGGTCACGTTCCCCGGCTGGGAGGGCCGCTGGGACGAGTGGGTGAGCCGCGACCGTTTGCGATGGGCGGCGCCGGTCGACGACGACGAGCGGAAGATTCTGCTCCACGACAACGTCGAGGTCTGGTGCGGCTCGAAGAACGTGCCCGGCGCCTGGCTCGAGGCCTCGGTCCAGCGCGTCAAGGACCAGGAGTTCTTCATGATCGGCAAGGTCCTGAGCACGGGCAGTCTGTGGGTCGAGCGGTCCCGCGTGCGCCTCGCGCGCAAGAGCAGCCCGGCGCCGCCGCCGCCGCGGCCGGGCTGCGCCCGCTTCGCCTTCGGCGTGCTCCTCCGCAACTCGCCCCTCGGCAAGTGGCGGCGGCTCCGGGGCGCGCTCGCGCGCGCGCGCGGCCGCCGCCCCGCCGCGCCCCCGTGAGCCGCGCCGCCGGGAACATCCGACGCCCGGCCCCCCCGCCCCCCCTTTACCCGCCCCCCCGCTGTTAGTTACCCTCTGCCTCGTCTTCTACTTGGTGTCGATCGACGGGGTGCGGACGTCGTCGCGGAGGCTTCGCGGGTCGAGGAGATGTGATTTTTTTGGTCGCGGGGCTTTGTGGGGACTCATCGACGTGGCCATCACCCGGGTCGAGAGCGGGACATGGCGCCAAAACATGGCCGCAAGCGCGCGGCGTCGAGCGCTACGGCCTCGGCAGTGAAGAAGTCGAAGGTGCCGGCGCGGCATGCATCGGCCGGCGTTTTTGGGCGGGTCATGCACTGCGGCGCAGCGGGCGAGATCGGTCGCTTCCTCTCGACTCCTGATGCTCTGCGGTTCGCGCGCTGCGGCGGCCGGGCTCTGCTCGACGCGTTCTCCAGGGAACTCGAGACCATTGACATCGGACTTTCACAGTTGCTCCCCTTTGCGTCGAGCGAGCGCTCGGCCGCGGACGCCGCGCTCCAGGCCGTCGTCGCCCGGTCGCCGCGAGTAACGTCGCTGGTGCTCTCGCATCGGACTTGGGTCTCCCTGGACACCTTCTGCAACGAGGAGGTCGAGCTCGGGTTTGGCAACTGCCTCGAGTGCGACTTCTGCGAATTACAGCGCCTCGAGCGCCTCGGGCTCCGAAACTGCTTTCGTTTGAGCTCTTCCTGCATCCTCACGCTCTTGGATCGGTGCACGTCACTACGCGAGCTCGACGTCTCAGCGATTCCCCTGGATCCTTATGACGTCAAGGATATCTGTCAGTACACGGACACACTGTGCGTCAACTACAGGTCGCTGCATCGCGACGCCGTACGTCCCGGCGAACCGTTCCCGGACCTGCGGACCGTCTTGACCACCCGTTCCCGGGGGGGGGCACACGTCATCACCTGCCTCGAGTTGTACGACCGCGATTGGCACCCAGGGTTGGTGTTCCGACGCGATCGCGAGGCTCGAAGGGGCAACCGGCCGCCGCGATGTCCGGACCGACTTGAACGAACGAGAACTACGAAAGGGTGCGGAAGTATCAATGTAAATCTCAACAGTCGCGGCGACGGGATGTCCTATTATCAATGCAATGACTGCGGTCACTACTTTTGCCAGAAATCGAAGCTCGACCCCATACGTGACGACGACTCGGAAGAGGTTGAAGACGAGGTGACGGACATGAGGGAAATCATGGCTATGAACCCGAACATGAGTTGGGCTCACATTCCCATATATCCATCAATCATTGCTCGGATTCGGAAGGCCGCACCGAATCTCAAACTCGCGTTCCGAACTGATACCGAGCGCTTTTCGTACGACTCCTTCGCGGCCCTCGACGACGGCGTTTCGAAACTGAGAGGGGCATGGGGCGACGATTCCGACGACGAGAGTCAAGAAGAGCC